TATATATATATAAACTCATGTGACTCAATATGAGCGCAATGACCATAGAATTTATTGATACGTATCTCGCATTCGCATGAAATAACAAATATTGAGAGTCCTTAGGGTGCCAATCATGTTATGATAGCATAAATGCCCTCATTCTTTATAAATACTACAATTTCTCAGATCATCGTTTTCATCATTATCTCGTTTATTTGATAGAGCACTATGTTCTTCAAATTGCAAACCGCTATTTATCTCATTGATAGATCTTTTTGTTAAAATGATTATTGTCTATTCTTCGAAAATTATTGTACATTCATTGATATCGTAGAAATTGCATTTATTCACTGCTTTGAATAGAAATTTCACATCTCAGTGAATACAAAAGCTGAAATTTTATCACGTTGCGTTGATGCCATTGAAATGCACGTTGCGTTGATGCCATTGAAATGCACGTCGCGAAAAATGAACAAGTTGAATTCACCAAAATTTTAGCCATATTTCAGTTTTTATATTCTGTAAAGATTGAAACTTACTTCAATATATGTAATATCAAAGAATTTCATATTTAATTAATTTCAATTACGAATAGCACAATAAAACTTGCTTAAAATGTTTAAAAGTAAAATAAAATGAATATCACACATATAATTAACATATAATTAACTAATACAATCTCAATATCTAAAATCTCTCGCATAACTTTAATATATGTATCTATCTATAATTATTTTTATCAGAAATTATAATTAAACTAATAAACAAAATTAATATAACTGTTAGTTAAATTAATATAACTAATCAAACTAAATATTATTTTATATTTTATATTTTTTTTATATCAAAAATAATTTCTACTCTAATTATATTACAAGATTTACTGAACACTTTGTATAAATCGATGATAACGCCATTGTTTAAAAAAAATTTTTTTAATTCTATTTGAAATATTTTTCTATATTAAAATCTCCTTTTTGATTAAAAAATTTAATTCTATATCTATTAAATTTTTGATATGTTTTTATTTGTTGTTGTTAAATTTTTATCTATTTTTATATTAAGAATAGTGAACAATAACGATGCTAAAATGAGGCTTATCATCGGTTAGCCTTGAATCTGAATCACTTAAAGAATAACAAGTCACACATCTGGTGAATGAATAAATTGGCCAAGAACATATCAATATATCAATGACAATTTCTTGTGACCTCTCTGCGCATTTTAACAAGTTATTAGTTTTACTCTGTGACGGACGTAAAGCAGTCAGTCATGAAATTTCACAGTGCGTCTTTTATCGTCAGATAATTTTTTAAATTAATAGAATAGTAGCCTTTTGTGAATAATTAATTAATTGTGAGTTATTAATGAACTAATGAATGTGAATAATTAACTAATCGCGGAAATTTTTTTTAATCTGAATTCTAATGATAAAACTAGTTGAATAGTAAAATTAGCAAAATTGAACTCATTTTCCCCTAATTATACTGATACCGATATAAGAATTAAGCCTGAAAATCTTAATTTAATTAGATAAAAATTGAGAACAATCAGCAACATTTGTTTTATACAAGCAACCAAAGAATTAGTCAAGAATAAATATGACTATTCTCATTGCATCTGTTTGAAATTTTATTATCTCACTTCTCGAACTGAAAATTCCATATTCATTCCTGGTTAATATGGCATTTTTCAATTTTTCGACATGTATCTTGTTACAAAATGCAGAATTTCTTTTCAAATGCAAAATGTTACGAATTCTATGATTTTATAACATTATTCTATATAATCCGCGATTCAAATTTAATCGCCACAAAACTTTTGACAACTTCTGTGTAACTTCATTAACAAACATCTCGATTCATTGACCAAAATCTAGTAAAATCTGGTTTGACTCGTGACGCAATCAGCAAAAATCGGAAAATTCTCAGTCTTAGTTTTACATCCAGCAAGATAAATATGATGTTTGAACTAGTATGTGAGACGTGAGTGCGTTGAAAATTTTTTCGTTGAGAAGTTTTTGCCGATGAAATCCGAAAAAATTGGCAAAATGTACAATGTAAAGAAACTCATTGTCAAATATGCCAACGATAAATAGTATCAAAAAACGTTGCCATCGATTGTGTCCTTCGCAAATTTATTCTTATCAAGACGCAAGAGAAATTGTTACTAAGTGAATTGGATTAAAGGTTAACCCAATGGATCTTTGCAGTGCCATTATTTATTATTCTTAAGACGATAATAATTTTTTGCTAAATATTTAATTATTTTTAATATATGCTGTTTTTTATTTAATTCTACAATATATAAATTAAAAATATGTAAATCTTTATGTGTAAACTTTTTTAATAGCAACATTATTTAATATACTAATATTATTTACAGAATACACATTCAAACTCATAGATTGGTAGCTACGTACGCTTTCAGCATCAATATGAATTTAATTTAGTATCCATTACATATCTTTTTAATCAACAAGAAGACTTTTAAATTTGACAACAGATAGTCTTTCATGTCTTTTGTAAATAGAAGCACCAGATCGAAAAGGTTTGACATCAACAAGATTACCATCTACGCATTCGTCTTCAGCGGACTCGATTTTATATAAACGACTATATGCTTCTTAATGCATGAGATTGACGTTGATTTTATTATTCAAAGAAGAGAGCAGAAGTCAATGATGTTTTCAAGAAAATCATTGACAAGCCACCGACAGTACAAAACACTTGTATGCCGTAAAAACTTTCAGATTGCATCCATAACGGCTTTCCTCGGTAAATTGTGTATCAAAGAGTTTAAATTATCACCACTAATTCCGGATAGTAAACCGATTACGATAAAACACGGAAATAGTATGTACACTGTTAAAAAATTGGGCTTAAACTTAACATATCGCATGTCCCAAATGGTCCATACAAATTTGTGTGTTAATTTAACGTAATATGGATATGTTAAATGGTGATACTAATACTATGTTAATAATTCAATACAAAAAATGAATGCAAACTTTGTAACAATTTGAAATAAATTTTGTGTAAAACCAACATATTTTAAATGATAAAATTAACTTAAAAAAAAATATTATTGACGGTCTGTAGTCACTCTCACTTCTATTATAGAATAAAATCAATATTTTTTTTCTGTAAATTTTAACAGATAAATTCTGTCGCTAATAATACGGAACATACCTGTTGTGTAAAATTAATAATATGTGCACGTTATGTTATTTTTACACTTTTTCAGTTGCTTTAATAATTTAACATTGGAATATAATTAACACAACAGCAATATGTTAAATTAGCACATGAATGTGTTAAATATTTAACACAAAAATTTTTACCAGCATACTTTTTAACAAAAACAAATTTTCCAACAACGTAAATATCAAATCATGCTTTGCATCGCGATTCCAGATATTACTCGCAACCATATAAGTTTGATACCAATAAATATTTGAACGTTAATGTGTCAACATCTCGATCTGTTTACTGTCTAGCCTATCTAGCCTAGAATCTGCAGAGCTAACAGATTTCCTTTAATGGAAATGAATATTATGTTACTTGCTGCAGCGTTGCGTTTTCAAAAATTTAATGCTAAGACTAGGATTTCTACAGTATTCAGTATGAAGGCTTAGTTCATGTCAGCGTGAGGTTGTTTCTGATTGAAGCTGCGAAAGAGAAAATCGAAAGCTCCTATTGCACATTATTTATTGACGTTGAGAATAGAGATTAAGATAGCAGACGTATTTGTGAATTATTCCAAGCATGGAATTATAATTAAAGTAAATCTCTTTTACATCACTAAAATTAAATACACATGCAGACATATCTCTTTTTGCTCATTTAAATATAGAACAGGAAAATCAAAAATAAAAAACAATTGTTTTGGAAATAATACGTATTTTTATTTTTTTAAATTAGCAACGCAGAATTATATTTGTTTTGCACATTAGAAATGTTCTTTTAGAATGCAATAATTACAATTTTATAAATCTTGATTTTTAATCTTTTTATCTTAAGTCTTCACTTATTTTAATCTGTAAGATTGGCTACATTCAGCGCACACAACAGTTGCGGGATCGCTCTCTCTCTCTCTCCTAGCGCTTTTTTTGCTAAACGATTTGCTAAGTGAGCGCTCGATATTACTCGACATCTGATCGACACGTGTTTTATTTTTATTATTTAATTTAAAATAATACTTTATTTTTAATTGTACATATCATTTTTCAATTTTTTGTGCACCTCCAATGAATCTACAATATTGTAGTTTGACCCATTGTACATGTATTGAGTTTCATAAAAAGCCATTGCGACGCAGTATAACCAAGATAACACAGATGATATATGACAACTCACAACAGTTGCACCAATTCACATACTGTAATGTGATATTGTATTCTATGAAACAAAACTGTAGTATAAATAGATAAAACGTAATTAAATATCAGGTATAACTTTTTATTACATTATTCAAAATTATTTTATGATAGTAAAAAAGTGAAATCCATACATTATCCATTAGCCTTTAACCCAACTGAATCAAATGACGAGTCTCATACGATAAAAAAAATATTATAAACAGTTACACAATGATAACAATTGATTAAAAAAAGAGTCTTCAAGTCATAATTCTGTGACGTATAAATTAACGCTGATAAAAGTAAATTGCTTCAAGTAAGCATGAATCGCTTCAAAGACGCAGTCAGTCTTCACATTTAGTGCGTGACACATGTATCTAGACAGTACGTTGGAATTATAAAATACCATCCGCTGATTGTGAAAATTGAATTTCTATTTTTGACAAAAACCTAGAGACAATAAAAAAATTAATAAATTGCATTTATGTGCAGCTTTATCTGTTTATAGTGTAATTATTTTCAATTGATATTTTTCTACATTTTTTTTCAAGTAATGTAGAAACTGTTCATCATCTTAATAAAAACTATATTGGAAAAACATTACAGTTCTCTTTTCGCGTAATCAATCGGAAAATAAGTGTGATGGAACTCTCTACTCTAGTTCTGATTATTATCACGGCATGTATCTGTCTATATTATTTTATCCTGAGCAAGATGTCTCATTTCAAGCGACTAAAGATTCCACACGTGCGGCCAACTCCATTATTAGGCCACCTGGCACCCCTCATTTTCCGACGTTTGACTTTTGAAGAAAACATTCGCAAAATATACAATCTGTGCCCCGATGTGAAATATTTTGGTTTCTACGAGTTTATGTCGCCAGTCTACGTGATTCGTGACCCGGAATTGATCACTGCAATTGCCATCAAAAACTTTGACAGTTTCTGCGATCACAATGATTTTTTTAAAGAATCCGAACCGATACTCAGTAGGAATCTATTCAGCATAAAAGGCGATCATTGGCGTGAGATGCGGAAACTACTCAGTCCTACTTTCACATCCGGAAAAATAAAAATAATGTTCAAGTTGATGTGCGAATGTGCGGAGAACCTTACCAACTTCCTGGCACACGATTCTGGAAATATCGGCAAAGCATACGATATGAAAAATGTGCTGAACAGATATGCCAACGACGTAGTGGCCACGTGTGCTTTCGGCATAAGCGTGGATTCATTCAAACATCCGAACAACGATTTCCTTCTTCTCGCCAAGGAAGCCACAAATTTCACTAAAAATCCTTTCAAATTCTTAATTATTAGAAATTTTCCGCTACTCGGGCGACTTCTCGGATTGAAAATATTTAGCTCAAAACTAACAAGTTTCTTCAAGGAGGTTATTGCTGATACAGTGAAGACTAGGGATGAGCAGAAAATTATTCGTCCAGACATGATTCATCTGATGATGGAGAAAAGAGATAATGATCACGGTCTTACGATGGACATCGATGAGATGACCGCTCAGGCGTTCGTCTTTCTCGTCGCTGGATTAACTTCAGTATCAGCAGCCATGTGTTTTCTAACATATGAAGTCGGAATCAATTTTGATGTTCAGAACAAATTGAGGGCCGAGATTGACGATATTGTTGCTCAGACCAACGGCAAGCCCACTTACGAAGCCATCAGCCAAATGAAGTACTTGGATGCTGTGATAAATGAGACCCTTAGATTGTATCCAATGGGAGCTTTCCTCGACAGAATGTGCGTTAAAGAGTTTGAATTACCACCAGCGACTCCGGATGGCGAACCGATCACGCTGAAGCCCGGAGACAGCATTTGGTTTCCGAATTACGCTCTGCATCGCGATCCCAAATATTATTCTCAGCCGGACAAGTTCGATCCCGATAGATTCTTGAACGGTGAAGTAGACAATTCGGTCTACATGCCATTTGGTATTGGGCCCAGAATTTGCATAGCTAATAGATTTGCTCTGATAAAACTGAAGATTGTGTTATTTTATCTGCTATGGCGTTACAATCTCGAGCCCGATACTAAGACTAAGATTCCCATGGTATTCAGTAAAAAAGCTTTTATGATGGAGCCGGTCGGCGGTTTCTGGTTAAAATTGCGAGTGAGAAAATCGAAGGTGTCCTTATCGAATGAAAATATATCCGAAGATTAACTATATTTGTGACTCAATTCAAGCATGAAATTGTATTTAAAGTATACTTCTTAAATTAGTGAATCCAAATAATATACATAGTTTTTTCTCGTTCAAACATTTAATATAGAAAGATTCAATATCGCAAAAAATTTATTTTTATTTTAAACACTAAAAATAAATACTTCTACAAAATATTTCGGTTGTAGTACTATCAAATTTGACATATACAGTGTTAATTTTATTTGTAAACAAATCATGCACGCTTGCGTTTTAGAAATAATATTATTAGAATATTAGATATTAAGTATTAATTAGGTGTAAATTATATATTTGTATAGTATTCAATATTCTAAAAATTAAAGTTTATAATAAATTCTTAAATTAATATCAGCTATATAAAGTTTAGATAAATTGTAATTTTTTGAAAAAGATTTGGGATACATTACAATATTGTGCAGAATACTTTGTGTGAAATAAATAAGTTAACGTTTCATTCTAGTTGCTTTGAAATAGATCAAACAGCAATCCACTAATAATTATTCCATTTAATATTTGATTATATGGATGGTTGCATGCTGTTTCTATAGTATTTAGAACAAGAATCGCACATTTTTTAATTTAATTTGTGCTATAAATGAAAATATAAATTAACAACTATAGAAGCTGCTCAAAATGTTTAAAAAAATAACTAATACTTCAAAATTGCGATTCGAGATGAGAGCTTAAATCGTTATGGTAGTATATTAGTACGATATTGTTTCAGCTATTTGTAAGAAAAAATATTTATAAAAACTAAAAATTTAATTAAAAATTAAATGAAAGTCAAAGGTTAAAAATTTCAGTATAAAAGCATTTTTCTTTTACTTGCCTCTTTTATCTCTCATAAATGTGTTAAGTACTGCATTTAATGCATTTATGTCTTCTTTGAATATGGTATTTAGAATTATAAAATAAAGAGTCTTATTTTGTTATTGGTTTCAAAACTATACGTGATAAAGAGATTACATAATTTTTTATATTATTGTTAATGTACACACACATAAGATATAAGTCATATACACATTCTCTTAATAAATAAATAAGCGTATTTAATAACATGATATAAACAATTACACGCGACATTATTAAAAGGTACATTTTATGTTTTATTACATAATAAGTAAAAAGTGTTATAAAACGTATATTGTAAATATTTAAATATTCGATGGAAGACCCTTTCTTGATTGTCACATAGAAGTTTGATTATGGTACTGTATCTATGAAACTATAGATATTGTAAATATTTATTATCTACTATTATTATCTACTATATTATAACAGCAATAAAACTGCACAAATCTAAAATATATTATAAAAAAAAGCTTTTATATAAAGTAATGTTATTTTTTTATTTATATACTGGAATCCTATGCACACATACGGATGTAATATGTTTATAATAAATATATAACAATATATTTATTAAATATAATTAAATATTGAACAAAATTTAAATTGAGGTTTTGCTTTATCGTATAAAAGAAAGCACTTCCATTCTGCATATATTTATATTTTATGATTGATTATTGATTTTATATAATCAAATCTTAATAATTTAAGTTTACTAGTTCAAAACTGATACATGTCTTAATTCACATACTGTGAAATTGTATTCTATGATACAATATTGTAGTAAAAATAGATCAAATGTGATTAAATATCAGGTATAACTTTTTTTATTACTATATTAAAGAATATTCTACGATAGCAATAAAGTGAAATCCATATATCATCCGTTAGCCTTTAACCGAACTGAATCAAATGATGAGTCTTCATACGATAAAAATAATATTGCAAACAGTTATAATACAATGATAACAATCGATTAGAAGAAGAATCAAGTCATTCTGCGACGTATAAATCAGCGCTGATAAAAGCAAACTGCTTCAAATAAGCATAAATTGCTTCAAAGCTGCAGTCAGTCTTCACATTTAGTGCGTGATACACGTATCTAGATAGTATGTTGGAATTATAAAATACCGTCTGCTGATTGTGAAAATTTAACTTCTAATCTTGATAAAAACTTAAAAACAATAACAAAACTAATGAATTGCATTTAAGTGCAGCTTTATCTGTTTATAGTGTAATTATTTTTAATTGATATTTTTCTACATTTTTTTTCAAATAATGTAGAAACTGTTTATTATCTCGATAAAAACTATATTGGAAAAACGTTACAATAACGTTCTTTTCTCGCGTAATCAATCGGAAAATCAGTGTGATGGAGCTCTCTACTTTAATTCTGATTATTATCACGACATGTATCTGTCTATATTATTTTATCCTGAGTAAGCTGTCTCATTTCAAGCGGCTAAAGATCCCACATGTACGGCCCACTCCATTATTGGGCCACCTGGCGCCCTTTATTTTCCGACGTTTGTCTCTGGAAGAAAACGTTCGCAAAATATACAATATATTCCCGGACGTGAAGTATTTCGGTTTCTACGAGTTTATGACGCCAGTCTACGTAATTCGTGACCCAGGAACCTATTCAGCATAAACGGCGATCATTGGCGTGAGATGCGGAAGCTCCTTAGTCCTACTTTCACATCCGGGAAAATAAAAATAATGTTCAAATTGATATGCAAATGTGCGGACAACTTTGCCAATTTCCTGGCAAATGATTCTGGAAATATCGGCAAGACGTACGACATGAAAAATGTTCTGAGCAGATACGCCAACGACGTAGTGGCCACGTGTGCTTTCGGCATAAGCGTGGATTCGTTTAAGCATCCGAACAATGATTTCCTTCTTCTCGCCAAGGAAGCCGCGAATTTTACCAGTAATCCTATCAAACTCTTAGTAAATAAAAATTTTCCGCTACTCGGAAGACTTCTCGGATTGAAAATATTTAGCTCAAAAATGAAAAGTTTCTTCAAGGAAATTATTGCTGATACAGTGAAGACTAGGGATGAGCAAAAAATTATTCGTCCAGATATGATTCATCTGATGATGGAGAAAAGAGATAATGATCACGGTCTTACGATGGACATCGACGAGATGACCGCTCAAGCGTTCGTCTTTCTCGTTGCTGGATTTGATTCAACATCATCAGCCATGTGCTTTCTGACACATGAAGTCGGAATCAATTTTGATGTCCAGAACAAATTGAGGGCCGAGATTGATGATATTCTTGCTCAGACTAACGGCAAGCCCACTTATGAAGCCATCAGCCAAATGGAGTACTTGGATGCTGTGATAAATGAGACCCTTAGATTGTATCCATTGGGAGGTTTCCTCGACAGAATATGCGTCAAAGAGTTTGAATTACCACCAGCGACTCCGGATGGCAAACCGATCACGCTGAAGCCCGGAGACAGCATCTGGTTTCCGCATTACGCTCTGCATCGCGATCCCAAATATTATTCTCAGCCGGACAAGTTTGATCCCGACAGATTCTTGAACGGTGAAGTAGACAACTCGGTCTACATGCCGTTTGGTATCGGGCCCAGAATGTGCATAGCTAACAGATTTGCTCTGATAAAACTGAAGATTATGTTATTTTATTTGCTATGGCGTTGCGATCTTGAACCCGATACTAAGACTAGCATTCCCATGGTACTCAGCAAAAAATCTTTTTTGATGAATCCGGAAGGCGGTTTTTGGTTAAAATTACGAGCGAGGAAATCGGAGGCGGCTATTCCGTTCTTATCGAATGAAAGTGTATGCGAAGATTAACCACATATTTATGATTCATTTCAAGCAAGAAATTGTATTTGAACTACATTTTTTAAATTAGTGAATCCATAATATACATAGGTTTCTTTCGTTTAAACATTTGATATAGTAAGATTCAATATTGTAAAAAATATATTTTTGTTTTAAACACTGAAAATACTTTCATAATTTTTCAAAATACTTCGGTTTTGTTGTATTATCAAATTTGACATATAGGTACACAATCTTTTTCGTGTTGTCTTTATTTGTAAACAAATCATAAGCACGCTCGTGTTTTATTAATAACATTAGATATTAATTAAGTGTTAATTATATATTACTATGGTAGTCAATATTCTAAAAAATAAAAGTTTATAATACATTCTTAAATTAATAGCAGCTAAATAAAGTAAGTTTAGATAAATTGTGATATTCCCCCCTCCACTCCCTTCACTCTCACAAATGTTTTAAGTTATTGTTTTCCAAATTATGTAAATTATATATTTATAATATAATTTATTGCTAAACGGATGGTTATATTCAGGAGGTAAAATATTGCATCTAAATGCATCAAATATGTATCTAAAGAAAACAATCTCTTTTTAAATGTAAATAATGTACATAAAAAATAGCATAATCTGGAGGTATCTGCTTAAAATGTTTCAAAGAAAAGCTTTTATCTCAAGTTATGATTACAGTCGAAACCTTGAAGGGGCCATAAAATTACACGATATTATTTTAACAGTGTGTAAAGAAAAAAAAAGTTGGAAAAACAAATAAAAACTTTGCTAAAAAACGACTCTTAATTTTCTCCCATATCTCTCATGTACGCCTTAAATACTGCATTGAATGCACTTACGTTACTAATGCCTTTTTCGAATGCAGCATTATTTGTTGATCGATCGAAATTTAAATTATGTTTTTGCTTTATCGTATAAGAAAAAGCACCTCCATTCTACATATATTTATATTTAATGATCAATTATTGATTTTTAAAATTGGATCTTAATAATTTAAGTTTATTAGTTCAAAATTAATACATGTTTTAATCCACATACTGCAGTTTGATATATATTATGATACAAGAGTGTAATAAAAATAGTTAAAATGTGATTGAATATTAGGTATAACATTTTATTACATTATTCAAGAATATTTTACGATAGTACTAAAGTGAGGTCCATGTATCATCCATTAGCCTTCAATCCAATTGAATTAAAAAATGACGAGTTTCATATGATAAAAATAATATTGCTAACAGTTACACAATGATAACAATCGATTAAAAGAAAAGTCTTCAAGTGGTAATTTTGTGACGTATAAATCAGCGCTGATAAAAGTAAATTGCTTCAAATAAGCATAAATTGCTTCAAAGCCGCAGTCAGTCTTTACATTTAGTGCGTGATACACGTATCTAGATAGTACGTTGGAATTATAAAATACCATCTGTTGATTGCAAAAATTTAATTTTTATTTTTGACAGAAACCTAAAGACAATAACAAAACTAATAAATTGCATTTAAGTGCAGCTTTATCTGTTTATAGTGTAATTATTTTTAATTGATATTTTTCTACATTTTTTTTCAAATAATGTAGAAACTGTTTATTATCTCGATAAAAACTATATTGGAAAAACGTTACAATAACGTTCTTTTCTCGCGTAATCAATCGGAAAATCAGTGTGATGGAGCTCTCTACTTTAATTCTGATTATTATCACGACATGTATCTGTCTATATTATTTTATCCTGAGTAAGCTGTCTCATTTCAAGCGGCTAAAGATCCCACATGTACGGCCCACTCCATTATTGGGCCACCTGGCGCCCTTTATTTTCCGACGTTTGTCTCTGGAAGAAAACGTTCGCAAAATATACAATATATTCCCGGACGTGAAGTATTTCGGTTTCTACGAGTTTATGACGCCAGTCTACGTAATTCGTGACCCGGAATTGATCACCACAATTGCCATCAAAAACTTTGACAGTTTCTGCGATCATCGTGATTTATTTAACAAAGAAACCGAACCGTTAATCAGTAGAAATCTATTCAGCATAAACGGCGATCATTGGCGTGAGATGCGGAAGCTCCTTAGTCCTACTTTCACATCCGGGAAAATAAAAATAATGTTCAAATTGATATGCAAATGTGCGGACAACTTTGCCAATTTCCTGGCAAATGATTCTGGAAATATCGGCAAGACGTACGACATGAAAAATGTTCTGAGCAGATACGCCAACGACGTAGTGGCCACGTGTGCTTTCGGCATAAGCGTGGATTCGTTTAAGCATCCGAACAATGATTTCCTTCTTCTCGCCAAGGAAGCCGCGAATTTTACCAGTAATCCTATCAAACTCTTAGTAAATAAAAATTTTCCGCTACTCGGAAGACTTCTCGGATTGAAAATATTTAGCTCAAAAATGAAAAGTTTCTTCAAGGAAATTATTGCTGATACAGTGAAGACTAGGGATGAGCAAAAAATTATTCGTCCAGATATGATTCATCTGATGATGGAGAAAAGAGATAATGATCACGGTCTTACGATGGACATCGACGAGATGACCGCTCAAGCGTTCGTCTTTCTCGTTGCTGGATTTGATTCAACATCATCAGCCATGTGCTTTCTGACACATGAAGTCGGAATCAATTTTGATGTCCAGAACAAATTGAGGGCCGAGATTGATGATATTCTTGCTCAGACTAACGGCAAGCCCACTTATGAAGCCATCAGCCAAATGAAGTACTTGGATGCTGTGATAAATGAGACCCTTAGATTGTATCCAATGGGAGCTTTCCTCGACAGAATGTGCGTTAAAGAGTTTGAATTACCACCAGCGACTCCGGATGGCAAACCGATCACGCTGAAGCCCGGAGACAGCATCTGGTTTCCGCATTACGCTCTGCATCGCGATCCCAAATATTATTCTCAGCCGGACAAGTTTGATCCCGACAGATTCTTGAACGGTGAAGTAGACAACTCGGTCTACATGCCGTTTGGTATCGGGCCCAGAATGTGCATAGCTAACAGATTTGCTCTGATAAAACTGAAGATTATGTTATTTTATTTGCTATGGCGTTGCGATCTTGAACCCGATACTAAGACTAGCATTCCCATGGTACTCAGCAAAAAATCTTTTTTGATGAATCCGGAAGGCGGTTTTTGGTTAAAATTACGAGCGAGGAAATCGGAGGCGGCTATTCCGTTCTTATCGAATGAAAGTGTATGCGAAGATTAACCACATATTTATGATTCATTTCAAGCAAGAAATTGTATTTGAACTACATTTTTTAAATTAGTGAATCCATAATATACATAGGTTTCTTTCGTTTAAACATTTGATATAGTAAGATTCAATATTGTAAAAAATATATTTTTGTTTTAAACACTGAAAATACTTTCATAATTTTTCAAAATACTTCGGTTTTGTTGTATTATCAAATTTGACATATAGGTACACAATCTTTTTCGTGTTGTCTTTATTTGTAAACAAATCATAAGCACGCTCGTGTTTTATTAATAACATTAGATATTAATTAAGTGTTAATTATATATTACTATGGTAGTCAATATTCTAAAAAATAAAAGTTTATAATAAATTCTTAAATTAATAGCAGCTAAATAAAGTAAGTTTAGATAAATTGTGATATTGTGCAGAGAGTTTTAGATATATTGTAATATATATTGTGCAAAATACTCTGCATGATATAAATAAATCAACGTCGAGTGCGAAGATTAACCATATTATTAATGATTTTTCTTGTTAGATTCTTTTTGACTATTAAATAAGTATTATTGTCCGCTAACAGAGTCGTCATTTTACTTAAATAAATGTTCTTATCAAGAGCAACTGTAACGTTGTCTTTATCGCTTTAGTAAAAATTATGTTAGAATTCTCGCGCACGAATCTCCGCGTTGAAAGAGATGCTTCAATTAAGTCATTGTTTCTTAAAAAAGAATAATCCACGAGTTTCTAAATATGTAGTTTTAAAAAAATTTTATGAATGTATTATAATATTATTTTCTCTCACATGGTTGACAGTGTGTAAAGAAAAAAAAAGTTGGAAAAACAAATAAAAACTTTGCTAAAAAACGACTCTTAATTTTCTCCCATATCTCTCATGTACGCCTTAAATACTGCATTGAATGCACTTACGTTACTAATGCCTTTTTCGAATGCAGCATTATTTGTTGATCGATCGAAATTTAAATTATGTTTTTGCTTTATCGTATAAGAAAAAGCACCTCCATTCTACATATATTTATATTTAATGATCAATTATTGATTTTTAAAATTGGATCTTAATAATTTAAGTTTATTAGTTCAAAATTAATACATGTTTTAATCCACATACTGCAATTTGATATATATTATGATACAAGAGTGTAATAAAAATAGTTAAAATGTGATTGAATATTAGGTATAACATTTTATTACATTATTCAAGAATATTTTACGATAGTACTAAAGTGAGGTCCATGTATCATCCATTAGCCTTCAATCCAATTGAATTAAAAAATGACGAGTTTCATATGATAAAAATAATATTGCTAACAGTTACACAATGATAACAATCGATTAAAAGAAAAGTCTTCAAGTGGTAATTTTGTGACGTATAAATCAGCGCTGATAAAAGTAAATTGCTTCAAATAAGCATAAATTGCTTCAAAGCCGCAGTCAGTCTTTACATTTAGTGCGTGATACACGTATCTAGATAGTACGTTGGAATTATAAAATACCATCTGTTGATTGCAAAAATTTAATTTTTATTTTTGACAGAAACCTAAAGACAATAACAAAACTAATAAATTGCATTTATGTGCAGCTTTATCTGTTTATAGTGTATTTATTTTTAATTAATAATTTTGTAGGTTTTCTGTGCAAGTACGACGAAAATTATATTGAGAAAACATTACAGTGACGTTCTCTTTTCGCGTAATCAATTGGAAAATCAATGTGATGGAGCTCTCTATTTTAATTCTGATTATTATCACGGCATGTATCTATCTGTATTATTTTATCCTGAGCAAGCTGTCTCATTTCAAACGGCTAAAGATCCCACACGTACAGCCAACTCCATTATTGGGTCACATGGCACCCTTCGTTTTCCGACGTTTGTCTCTGGAAGAAAACGTTTGCAAAATATACAAACTGTTCCCGGACGTGAAGTATTTCGGATTCTACGAGTTTATGTCGCCAATCTACGTGATTCGTGACCCGGAATTGATCACCACAATTGCCATCAAAAACTTTGACAGTTTCTGCGATCATCGTGATTTATTTAACAAAGAAACCGAACCGTTAATCAGTAGAAATCTATTCAGCATAAACGGCGATCATTGGCGTGAAATGCGGAAGCTTCTCAGTCCTACTTTTACATCCGGAAAAATAAAGATAATGTTCAAACTGATGTGCGAATGTGCGGAGAATCTTACCGATTTCTTGACGACCGATTCTGGAAATATCGGCAAGACATACGATATGAAAAATGTGCTGAGCAGATACTCCAACGACGTAGTGGCTACGTGTGCTTTCGGCATAAGCGTAGATTCGTTTAAGCATCCAAACAACGATTTTCTTTTTCTCGCCAAGGAAGCCGCGAATTTCACCAGTAATCCTATCAAACTCTTAATTAATAAAAATTTTCCACTACTCGGAAGACTTCTCGGATTGAAAATATTTAGCTCAAAAATAAAAAGTTTCTTCAAAGAGATTATTGCTGATACAGTGAAGACTAGGGATAAGCAGAAAATTATTCGTCCAGATATGATTCATCTGATGATGGAGAAAAGAGATAATGATCACGGTTTTACGATGGACATCGACGAGATGACCGCTCAGGCGTTCGTCTTTCTCGTCGCTGGATTAAATTCAACATCATTAGCCATGTGCTTTCTGACACATGAAGTCGGAATCAATTTTGATGTCCAGAACAAAGTGAGGGCCGAGATTGACGATATTCTCGCTCAAACAAACGGCAAACCCACTTTTGAAGCTATCAGCCAAATGAAGTATTTAGACGCTGTGATAAATGAAACCCTTAGATTGTATCCAGTGGGAGGTTTTCTCGACAGAATATGCGTCAAAGAGTTTAAATTACCACCAGCGACTTCGGATGGCGAACCGATCACGCTGAAGCCCGGAGACAGCATCTGGTTTCCGCATTACGCTCTGCATCGCGATCCCAAATATTATTCTCAGCCGGACAAGTTCGATCCCGATAGATTCTTGAACGGTGAAGTAGACAACTCGGTCTACATGCCGTTTGGTATCGGGCCCAGAATATGCATAGCTACCAGATTTGCTCTGATAGAACTGAAAATTATGTTATTTTATCTGTTATGGCGTTGCGATCTCGAACCCGATACTAAAACTAAGATTCCTATGGTATTCAGCAAAGAGGCTTATTTTATGACGGCAGAGGGCGGATTCTGGTTAAAATTGCGAGCGAGGAATTTGAAGGCTCTTATTACATCCTTATCGAATAAAAATATATGCGTAGATTAACCATATTTGTAAGACATGAAATTTCAGGCATAAAATTGTATTTAAAGTATATCTTTTAAATTAGTGAATCCATATAATATACACAGTTTTTTCTCGCTTAAACATTTGATACAGAAAGATTCAATAGAGAGTTTAAATTGTTTTGGTGGTACAATTGTACGATATTTTTTCAGCAATTTGTAAGAAAAAATAATTATAAAAATTAAAAATTAAATAAGTCAAAGATTGAAAATTTCAGTATAAAAGCATTTTTTTCTATTTGCTATTAACTCTCATATGTATGTTAAGTATTGAATTTAATGCATTTATGCCTTCTTTGAATATGGTATCTAGGATTATACAATAAAAAATGTTATTTTGTAATTTTGAGAACTATACATGATAGATTAAATAATTTTTATATTATTTCTAATGTGTACACACATGAGAAATAAGTCATATATATGGTACATTCTCTTAATAAAGAAGTAAATACAATATATTTAGTAGCATGACATAAATAATCCCACGCGACATTATTAAAAGATACGTCTTTTTGTTTTATTACTTTTGTTTAATAACTAAAAAGTGTTATAAAACGTATAGTATAAGTATATATTTAATGAAGGACCCTCTTTGATTGTCACATAGAAGTTTGGTTATGGTACTGTATCTATGAAACTATAAATATTGTAAATATTTATCATTTACTATATTATAATAGCAATAAAACTGCACGAATATAAGATATATTATAAAGGTAAGCTCCTATAAAATAATTTTTTTTAATTTCTAATTTTAATACCTAATCTAAACTGGAATTTTTTTTATTTATAACTGGAATCTTATATATGCATACATACGAATATAATATATTTATAATAAATATATAATACTATATTTATATTAAAAATAATTAAATATTGAATAAAATATTTGTTTGCTTTTAAGAATATTTAACGATAGCATAACACACAAATTTGGTTTATATATTATCGATGTTAATCTTTAACCTGACCTCATTTAATCGAACGATAAATTTCGTCAACCGAGAAAAAAATCTTATGATTACGTACATACATGCACACGTGTGGTCCACAAGTTGATTAAAAGAAGACTTTGAACATATACATCTACACATTTCCAAATAAATTTGTCGTTTCAGCAAAAAGTTAGTCAGTCTCTCGCGCATATCTCATGCATCATACATGTTTTTAAATAGTAAATCGTCGCTTGTTGGTCAAAAATTTAGTCTTTGAAGTGCGATCTTGACGAAAAGCTAGCAATACTAGCAAGACGTTACTAGTAACGTTTTCTTCTCGAGTAATCGATTCATAAATCAGTGATGGAACTCTTTACTTTGATCCTTATCCTCCTCGCGGCATGTGTTTGTCTGCATTATTTTATCCTAAGCAAGCTGTTATATTTCAAACGACAGAAAGTTCCGTATATGCAACCGATTCCGTTGCTAGGTAACATGGCACTTTTTATTTTTCGGCGTATGTCTTGGGTAGATATTATGCAGAGGGCATACAACCTCTTTCCGGACGTGAAGTATTTCGGTTTCTACGATTTTGTAACGCCGGTGTACGTGATCCGCGATCCAGATCTCATCACCGCGATCACCATCACAAACTTTGACAACTTCTGCGATCACCGCAACTTTGTGAACGGCAGCGACGCGATAGTCAACAAAAATCTGTTCGACTTACGGGGCAATGATTGGCGCAAGATGCGAAAACTTCTCAGTCCTAGCTTTACGTCTGGCAAAATCAAGATGATGTTTGGATTGGTATGTGAAGCCGCTGATAATTTTTCGAATTTTCTGGCGACAGAATCTGGAAAAATTGGCAAAACTTACAATATGAAGACAACATTGTGCAGATATGCTAACGATGTAGTGGCCACGTGCGCCTTCGGCATCAGCGTGGATTCATTTCAGCATCCGAACAATGAATTTTATGTAACCGGAATGAAAATTTTTAACTTCGATGGCATACAATCATTTATGATTTTCCTAAATAGAAATTTTCCGCTGCTTATGAGACTTCTTAAATTAAAAATGTTTAGTCCAAAGGTGTTAGAATTTTTCAAAAACGTCGTCAGCGATACAGTGAAAATCAGAGACGAGCAAGGAATTTATCGTCCGGACATGATTCAGTTGATGATGGAGACTAGAAACAAGGATCACGGATCTGCATTTAATATCGACGAGATGGCTGCTCAGGCGTTTCTCTTTTTCTTAGGTGGATTCGATTCCGTATCAACGAACATGTGCTTCCTGACGCGTGAGATTGCTATTAATCCCGATATTCAGGACAGACTGAGAGCGGAGGTCGACGATGTTCTTAGAAGGACCAATGGCAAACTTACTTACGAAGTCATCAACGATATGAAGTACTTGGACGCCGTGGTAAATGAGAATCTCAGACAGTATCCGCTACTGACCGTCCTCGATAGAGTATGCGTCAAGGAATTTGAACTGCCACCTGCGATTCCGAATGGCAAACCGATCACGGTAAAGCCCGGCACTAGTATCTGGATACCGAATCACGCTCTGCATCACGATTCCTATTATTACCCGCAGCCGGACAAGTTCGATCCCGATAGATTCTTGAATGGCGATGTGAACAGTTCGGTCTACATGCCGTTCGGTATCGGGCCCAGAATATGCATAGCTAAGAGATTCGCTTTAATGGAGATGAAAGTCATGTTGTTTCATCTATTGTGGCGTTGCGATCTCGAACCCGATGCTAAAACTAGAATTCCCATGGTATTCAGCAAAAAGGCTTTTTTCATGACAGCGGAGGGAGGATTCTGGTTAAAATTGCGAGCGAGGAAATCGAAGGCTCCTGTTGCGCATGAATGCTTATCGAACGGACAGAGAGTTCAGGACGGAGATAAATTGTATCCATAATTTATAAGATTCACTTCAAGTATAACACCATAAAGAAGGTACTTTGTAAGTTATCGTTTTAGGCAAGTCTAGCCTCGTAGTTTTTCTTTTTTCTTTTTAAAAATTTGATATAAAAAAAAGAGTCAAAAACTCTCATTCCGTATATTGTAAAGGGCAAGTGTTGCAGTGTTTTTGCTTTAATAGATGCAATTATTTTTATATCAAATATCTGTTTATATTCGGACAAAATATGTTTTATAATCAATATGGTGTTATTTTGTTTATACAATTATTGTAATAATAATTACTGTAGTTAGTGTTTTTAGGAAACGCGAATTTATAATAT